TGTAGGGGGAACCCTTCTGAAAGCACTTCTGATACCTTAGCAAGGATCCTGCCTGTTTGCTGTGTGAGCCTGTGTTAGTTCTGATAGGTAGGGACCATGCTGTGTGTGTGTGTGGAGAAGGCCGTGTGGGACTCCAAAGAGTGTGTGGGCCATTTCATGGCAAAGGAAAGAAAGACTGCAGACCGCTGGTATCGCTGACGTGCAGGATACACAATCCTGCAGACAGGCGGATCATAGTGCTGTCATCGGTATACCACAGATTATCACACTGAGAACCAGATTGCCTAGCCCATTCTGTATTATGGCCTACTGCTTTAGTGTCTCACTACAATCCTGAGACCGCAGGACAGCACATGTCCCTGCAAACAGGATTACACTAGTATCTCACTCCAAGCCTCTTCCAGCTACAAAGGAACTTGCTTCACCAGAGTAGACCAATTCTTAGAGGTTCAACCTCTGCTTCCACCCCCTTTCTTCAATTTTAGTAAATTCTTGCCTTCATCCTTTGTGTTAAAGAGACCTTATCTAGCTTCAGCATCACTCAAAGGGGGAATCTTTCTGTGGCTATACAATCTTGAGGACATCTTGCTCTTACACAAAGAGGAATCTGAACCTTAATGTGTACCATCTAGGGCCCCATCAAACACATAGAAGATTTGTCACCATTCTTTAAAGACCCACATGGAAGAAAAATATATTTGAAATATATTTTAAAAATATTCTTCACAAATAAATTGACATATATTTGAAATACTACAATTTTGGCCGTATATAATATACTTCAAAATATATTTCAATAAGTATATATATACTGTATGTTGAAATGCGTTTTTATTACAAAATATTTGAAAAATATTTTTAAAAATATATTTTCAAATATATTGTATGTCTTTAAAAATACATTTAATCTACATTTTTGGAATGCATTTACAAATATATTTTTAAAATGACTTTTTTATGTGTTAAACAAAATCTGAAGAATATATTTTAAAAAAATATATTTTAAAAAATATTTTTTCATATATTTTGTAATATATAAAAAACACATTTCAACATGCAGTATATATCTATATATATATTGAAATATATTGAATACGGCCACAATTGTAGTTTTTCAAATATATGTCAATATATTTGGGAAGAATATTTTAAAAATATATTTCAAATATATTTTTCTTCCATGTGGGAAGGTACCACTGTTTACAACAAAAGTATTAAACTTCAGAATGAAATGCAGTTACCAGCAACTCAGAACCCAAACGTTTAGTGAGTTTGCCTGACATCTTGATAGTTCACTTTAGCTCACTTGGAGAGAGATATCTCAGAAGCTGGAACTGATGTTTAAATGTTGATCCTGCAGGCCATTTCGGTTTGTTCACAGTGATAATCTGCCTTATTACTTGGTTGAACCTTTTAGAGTTTAATTTTTTCTTTTATGCACATCTGCTGTCATTCTTATTGTTCTTGCACACTTTATACTCTGACCTCAATACAATTAGAATATTTGCTCACCTTAAACTGTGTTTATTTTATGGTTCAAAACCAGGGAGTCCTCCTGGTCAAAGTTTCACGGAGGTGTCAGCAGGGGCTTTACTTCCAAAGCAGGCTCAGAACAGACAGGGAACCCAAAAATACTTAGCAGCATTCAAGAGCATAGCGCTACATATATAAAAATTAGTCACAATCAGGGGCGGGCTGACCATTTGGTAACTCGGGCACTGCCCAAGGGCCCGGGGTCAGTAGGGGGGCAAATGAGATGCCCCTGGTACCTTTTTCATAGGCTTTTTGGAGTTTGGGCAAGGACACAGGGGCCCCATGATCCCCTATTGCCCAGGGGCCCCATGAGTTGTCAGTCCGCCCCTGGTCACAATTAACCCTTTTGGTGCTGAAACTGTGTATAAACACAACTTCAGTACCATGGAGAGCAACTGCCTGCAGATTTCCCTGCAGGATAAGTTCTAACCTTGTGATAGACGGTTCGATTCTCAGGCGATTCAAAAGAGACCGGCCGAGATTCGAAAAATGTATGGGCAGGCTGAATGTACCCAAGTTGATCGATCAATTTGGGTACAACCAGCCTTTACGATTTTACATGTTTTTATCGCTAATGACTATTAAAGCTGCTAGCAGTAATCACTGTGGGGGTTATTTACTAAAGCCCGGGAGTGGAAAATCAGTCTCACTTCTGCATAGAAACTAATCAGCTGTCAGGTTTTATTGCCAAAGCTTAATTAAATAAGCTGAGGTTAGAAGCTGATTGGTTTCTATGTAGAAGTGAGGCTGATTTTGCACTCTCCAGCTTTAGTAAATAAATCCCTGTGTTCCCCCGGCGGGTGCGGCTCCCCAATGCCCCCCCCCTTTTCCCCACCGAGAGAACATTGGCTCCATGGGACCCGTGGTTGCAGGAAAGAAATCGCTATGTCTATGGCCGAATTTACTCACTGATATTGTACCTATCACTGGCAACTGTATTCGCTTAGTGCACAATCATCCTATAGTAAATAGGGTGAATGTGACTGTAGAATACAGAGCAAGTTGTGAATTTCTAAATATATTCAAACCCCAAACTATTCCTAAAACCTCAACGCATTGTGAATCAATAACTGTACTCTTTACTTTTGATTTCAAACACCTAAGCCATCCCACAATGTAATGGATCAAAGTCATAGTTTCCTCTGTAATGTAAGATAATATCCTGCCCTTGGAATCAGGCAATTTTCCTCACTTGTTATTTTCTTGGGCACTTCACCACCCCAGTTCTAGGAAAGTTTCTAATATCCTGCGGTTGGGCTTTAAATTTGGAATAGAAATACTGTAGTTAAAACCCTTGAGGTTTTTTTTATTTCAGTCTCATGTCCCATTAGGGAATTTTCTGTCCCTTTCTGTCCCATAAATACATCAGGAAGTAAGACAGAAACTCTTAAATGTGAGTTGTCACCAGCATCCAAATCTCATGAATGAAAGATTTCCCCTCTATTCCTTTTGTGATGACAAATCTAAATTTGGCATTCCACCCTACATTCAGTCTTGGTGACCTGGGTCATCAGGACAAATAAGGGGAATCCCCCCTGGGTGAGAAAATATTTTAATTCTTCCCAATTTATCCTCATATATTTGGAGTTAAGCTTGCCATAGATGGACCAAAATTCAGCCAGTTCAGTAGGGACCAGCCTAATTTTAGCCTAATTTCAGTCCATCTATAGCTGTTCCCATTCAAGAGAAGTCATCTAACAACTGACTTCTCTCAAACCAACTTTTTTCGAAAATGTAGCTTTCATCAGTGCTGCAGCCAATCAGCTGCAACATTGATCAGTGTATTCTGACAGTGGAGGAGTCCCAGCTGTCAGAATACAACAACACTTAACCTCGCTTAAGTGGATGGGGGAATCCGTTCAGTTTTTTTTATCAGCCCGCTGGCTGATTGAAAAAAAATTATTAATATATAGCCAACCTTAGGCTCTAACACTGTCCTATTCTTTTCTTGAAAGAGTTCAATAGTGGGCAGCACAGTGGCTAAATGGTTAGCACTTCCGCTTGGCAGTACTAGGGTCGTTGGTTCAAATCCCAGCCACAGCACCTCCTGCTTGGAGTTTGCATGTACTCCCTGTGCCTGCGTGGGTTTCCTCCGGGTACTCCAGTTTCCTCCCACACTCCAAAGACATGCTGGTAGGTAGGTTAATTGGATTCTGTCTAAATTGGCCCTGGTATATGAATATGAGTTAGGGACCTTAGATTGTACACCCCTTGAGGATTAGGGACTGATGTGAATATACAATATATATGTAAAGCGCTGCGTAAATTGACAGCGCTATAGAAGTACCTGAAATAAATAAAAATAGTAAACCCAATACTTCACATACCCACTTTAGCTCTGCGTCTAGCCCTTGCTACATTATTCTGATTGACAGCATATTGAATGTAGATTCAGAAAAGAGAATGCATTGCATAAATAACAACAAATATTTCTGCCTACATGCCTAATAGTTAGGAACACCATCAACGACATGCATGTAATTGCATATTTATGGGATTGAGAAACTGAATAGTGCTGTTTTTGGAAGATGTTTGTGAGCTTACTAATTATTAGATGTGGTGGCATTATAATTTATTATATTTGTTATTTTTGTTAAGATTTTTCCCTTTATTTTCTCTTGAGGATCTGGCAGGTAAGTGTGTTACTTTTCATCTTCCTTTAACAGACCAAGCTGTCCAGTAAAAGTGGCAGTTAGAGGTTTGAGGCAAACCATTTAAGATTGACAGGGTAGTATACACTGGCCAGCTTTTATCATTTATGTAAAATCTTTACCCTGAAAGAAAGAAAAAAAAACACTGTTGCTGTAACTGCTTACAAAGTGTTAGCTGGAGTTCTGCTTTAATTGTTAGTCAGGTCTATCTAAATCTGCAAGTCTAACACTACCCTCTCCCCAGATTGACAGTGCTACTGCCTCCATTGCCGCTCTACCTAGAATGAAAACTCCCTAAGACAAGGGGGAGATTTACCAAAACTGGTGCACTCACAACCTGGTGTAGCTGCACATGGTAGGCAATCGGCTTCTAACTTCAGCTTCTTTAACCACCAGAGGATTTACCCCCCTTCCTGACCAGGCCATTTTTTGCATAACACAACATTTTAACTGACAATTTCATGGTCATGCAACGCTGCACCCAAATTAAATTTACTTGCTTTTTTTCCCCACAAATAGAGCTTTCTTTTGGTGTTATTTGATCATCTGTGTGTTTTTTATTTTTTGCGCTATAAACAAAAAAAGACCAACAATTTTTTGACATTTGCTATTAAACATGTCCACTAAAAAAAAAATGTAAAATATCTAATTTCATCATAAATGTAGACCAAAATGTATTCTGGGACATGTCTTTGCTAAAAAAAAATCCCAATACGTGTAAATTAATTGGTTTACGTGAAAGTTATAGAGTTTACAAATAGCGGTAAATATATTGGGATTGTTATTTTTTTTACATTTTACTAGTAATGGTGTCGATTAGCGACTTATTGCGAGACTGTGGCGGGCATTCTGACACTGGGGGGAACTGACTTGGTGTCACTGACATCCCCAGGGACACCAATACTGTAATTAGTGCTAATAAAAAGCACTGACACTGTACTAATGGCACTGGGCAGGAAGAGGTTAACATGTGGGGCGATCAAAGGGTTAACTGTGTGCTGTTTTACATACGGGGCTATGTTTGTGTTTCACTGTAAGCACACTGCTTTGTATGGCTGTGCTATGCACAGCCATGCAAAGCAGTGTGCAGGAGCTGATTGGAGAGAACTGTTTTGTTTACTACAGTTCTTCCCCCACCCTGTCAAAGATTATTATTATTATTATTATAATACAGGATTTATATAGCGCCAATAGTTTGCTCAGCCCTTTACAATTTAAATGCTCGGCAATCACTGGCCGGGACCCGGTGATTCACAGCCTAGGTCGCGAATGGTGGCACAGGCAGGGCACGCACACAAATCGCTTACGCCCTCTACCTGGAAATGCAAAATCACGTATATATACGTGATTTTGCGCACCCGTGCAGCCCTGTAGCAGTACTTCTGCTATAGGGCGGACGGGAAGTGGTTAATTAAGCTTTGATAATAAAACCTGGAAGCTGATTGGTTTCTATGCAGTGCTGCACCCGATTTTACATGATCCAGTTTTAGTAAATAACCCCCAAAATGTGTTACCGACCGCATTACCAGATGAAAATAAAGGCAGCAAACACCTTTAAAGATTGGTAAGCTGTGATTAATTAATACCACTTTAAACTGTTACTTTTATAAAACATCAATATGCAGAAATCCATGCAAGAGAAGCAAGTGTCACCAAGTGGCTAATCTCATGCTACTAAGCAACTAAAAATCACATCTACACCTATGTCCTAGGCTGTGGAATAATTCATCCCAAACTCCATACATAATTCAGTAAAATCATGGCGGGGGGAGGGCACATTACAGGTAACACCATCCATGAGCCTAACTGTGATCAAGTTATTTTGGAAGGAAATAATAGAGTAGGTGAGGATTAGAACCCTAACAAACCATGGAAATGGGTCATATTGTCAGGACTGTAGTGGGTATTATTCACTAACTACACAAATACATCACAACAAGCTTCACTGGGGAGTGGAAGCTAAATTGGATTACTGCAATTTGTCACAGCTATATCATGTTTATTACAGTCCTGGGGGAATTGATTACAAGCTCAAGACTGACACTCCAGAGTAAAATGGAATTAAAATATGTTTTCATAAGCAGGGATAGAGATAACATGCTGAAGGAATACCCGTTCAAGGAAACACAGACCTGCTAATAAATAAATCTATACCCTGGAAATTTTCTGATTTACCATTTTCATTCAGTTATCATTTTCACACTGTACTGCATATAAAAACCTCTGCAGTGCAATATAACAGTATGCTGGTATACTTTTCCTCCACATATCTGACACAATTACTATTGCAAGTCCAGAAGATTAGATAATAAAAATAGTAATTAATAGACCAATTGAGTCTGTTTATTTATCTATTTATTTATTGATGTATTTAGTTATTTTCATTTACATGGAACTGACAGAACCTGTAGTACTTTAAGAAACATTCACATCAGTCCTGCCCTAGAGGATATTAAAGAAGACATGGCATGAAATATATTTTTTCATATTAAAGAAACCTTTCACCACCTGGTACTTGGCTAACTAAAAAGAGGCAAGGAATCTGTATTAAAAAGTTATTACACCCAAATCATAACTTCCATGATCATCTATAAAGTAAGGCTTCGGCTGAAAAGTGTTGGCGTTCTGTTGGGTTTGCTTGGATGCCCCAGATTGCTTATCTTTTACCCAATAAAGTACCATGAAGGATTGTTATCAGGCTCCAGATCTCTAATCAAATTCATGATCTCAGTGCAAGAAATACTAACACTATGGTGTAATCCTTCATATTACTGCCATTGTCATCGGCTCCTCTAGGGATCAATTTGCTGATTTACGAATGTGCAGTGGCTCTGTGAACTAACAGGGTCAATATGGAGTCACTAAAATATCCTTGCTTTACTCTGCAGTGAAACTGCTCTGTTGATCATTCCATATAACGGAGTAGAATTAAATTCTGTAAAAACTTAAAACAATAGTGCCGCGATCCCCGTGATAAACAAATGCTATATATGCACCTAGTAACAGATGTGTTAATTAACGTGAAAAAAATATACATACAAATATATATATAAAAATGACTAAAAATATAAAAACATCAAACCATAATATCAGTGTTCATGACCAATGTGAAATCAAATTGTAAAACTTATTCACAATAAACCACATAACCAAAGTCAATATATGTAGAAAAAGTCCTCTTTATATTCAGAAACTCCAACTTCAGTAAATGGATACAGTGTGATCTATTTATAAGCTCACCTTGCTTATAGCCTAAATGACATTAGGCCAAAACAGCTTTTTGTCCTATATGGACAGATGCAAAAAAATTTTCCTGCGTCCGATATTCTTTCCAAATGCTGTATGGATAGCTGTAGTATTGGTAATATTCCACCTGGGGTCTCTCCAGTAGATTGATCCTTGTGTTAGGTATGGATGGATGAATATCTCCCTTTTCCCCTCCAGGGGTCTCCTCCTTCCTTTAATATCCTCTCTCCAGTGCTCCACATTAGGGGTATTATAAAAGAAGAGAAACCATAGTGCCTTATCTTTTTTAAATGTTATATTTATTAAATAACAGTATTCCACTCACATATGTGCAAATTAAAATACGCTCAAAATGTAAAGCATAGCCTGCTGTGTGTGCTTCTGCCTATACTCACCGTTCTGATCCGAGACAACATTGTGACGTCAGGGGAGGGGCTCTGACGTCACGACTTTGTCTTAGAAGGAGGAAGGAGGAGACCCCTGGAGGGGAAAAAATAGAAAAGGGAGATATCCATCGATCCATACCTAACACAGGGATCAATCTACTAGAGAGACCCCTGGTGGAATATTACCAATACTACAGCTATCCATACAGCATTTGGAAAGAATATCCGATGCAGGAGAATTTTTTTGCATCTGTCCATATAGGACAAAAAGCTGTTTTGGCCTAATGTCATTTAGGCTATAAGCAAGGTGAGCGCATAAATAGATCACACTGTATCTATTTACTGAAGTTGAAGTTTCTGAATATAAAGAGGACTTTTTCTACATATATATTGACTTTGGTTATGCGGTTTATTGTGAATAAGTTTTACAATTTGATTTCACATTGGTCATGAACACTGATATTATGGTTTGATATTTATATATTTTTAGTCATATTTTATATATATATTTGTATATATATTTTTTTCACGTTAATTAACGCATCTGTTACTAGGTGCATATATAGCATTTGTTTATCACGGGAGCGCGGCACTATTGTTTTAAGTTTTTATAGTCACAAACACTATTTATGAGTTGGTGTGAGTGCCAGCGAACCTTATGTGAGTTTATTTAATTAAACTTAATTAACTGATTAGCACATCCACAAATTCGCCATAGTAGCTCACAATTATTTATATATATTTTTTTAGAATTAAATTCTGCCCACCTTTCCAAGTAAGTTAAAATAAATAAATTTTATTGTGTCTTAAAAGGCATTCTAATTAAAAACGTTGCTTTTTTTTCAACGGTTTAATACTACTTACAGAATCTCTAACTGCTGCAGTAATGTGCCTCTGAAAAGCAGAAAAACTTCTTTGTTACAATCCTACAGCAAAATTGGCACTCCTGGGAAAGTCTTCTTGGGCTGCTTGCAGCATCTCCAGTGTATTTCAACAGTATGAAGAACATTCTAGTTTGATTGGCACTAAAATCCATTGCATTGTAACTCCTAACAGTTGGTATTTATTACCTCTCATATTTGGCAGTACTGGCCCTAACAATGCATTCATCTGTGTCTCTTTCCATAGGGATGGGTCTATTCATGTCCAGACATCTTCCATGGTGAGGATCTACTTCCTATCAAGAGATGCTGACCCTGAGATGGCACAGTCACATACATCCTGGTTCCTGTGTAGTACATGGCTGCATTCACAAATGTCTGACAATGATCAGCCCCCTGCTGCTGCCTCTCACTTCATCACTGAGGAAAGGAGACTAAAGCCTAGTACACACAATCAGAAAATCACAATTGAAAAATACCGCTTTTGAAGCAAACGTACGATAAACTGATTGTTAGTACACAGCTTTCATCTGAAATTATTTGAAGGAACAAGCACAAGTAAATGTTCTCATACAATACCAGATTGTACGATTTTCATTTAATCAGTACAGTGTTCGTCCAAAAGTACAACACAATGCATTACATCACTTCAGAATTTTGATTCTGTCGTGCAATAATTTTCGTAACTTCTTCATTTTCGATATGGAGACTAGCATGCAACAAAACAAAAACGAACGATCATTCGTCTGATATTCTCATCGTGTGTACGGGGCTTAAGGAATGCTTCCCACTTATCTCAGCCTAGGCAAAGACACTGCACAGGCACTTGAATATGGATTTTTATTGCAAAAGGCACAAATGTTTTGGAAAATTATATGGTTGCTGTGTATTGTGACATATTGTGGGACTGAGCTGTCCACTTTAAGCAATTTACATTTTCTTTAGATCTGATTGCCTGGATCATAAAAATTTAGCAATCATTTTCAGTGTAGGTGCCTATTTGGACAGTTTTATCCAATGAAACCTTTAGTTACCTGTTATTCTACTTCCAGCTATCTGGATTTATAGATGCTAAAAAACAATAGCTTGCAAAATCTGGAATAAATGGAAAAATACCTATTTTGTATGCCTAGAATCTATAAAAATAAACTACATCACATTCTATGTCTGTCTTATTGGTGAGTTCATTTATCTGAAGATCTTGTCAGTTCAGCAAACCACCATATGTTCTATACAAACTGGGTCTCAGGAGGTATGAAATGAATGAATAAACAGATACATGCATCCATACAAATACAGTCATTTAAATACTTATTGTAGGATGCCTTTTCAGGTCAATCTTTTTTTTTTTTTTTTTTTTTTTTTTACAAAATGTGTTCTTTTTGGCCAGTAGCCATACTTTTTATTATAGGGAATGATTTGGTTTGAGGGAGTCCTCTATATTAATTAAAGGACTGTTTAGGTTGTGGTGAGATTTTCCTGGGGGAGGTGCCAGTGAGTCTTTGTAATGAATGCCTTTTCTAATACAAAAAGACCCACAAAGCATAGTGCCTTTCCACATTTAGAAGATATTTACAGTACCTACAGGTAAGCCTTATTATTGGCTTACCTTTAGGTAAAGGAAACA